AAGCTGGAGAAGCTCTTGTGTGTATTTCTTATCTGTGGAAGTCTGGGTTGCTGCCAAAGTCTTGTCTGTTAGTTAATTACTGTGACTAAATTGACTAACAGTCACATTGTGTCGGCGTGACTCACCGTACGAAGGGGGGGGTCAGAACATGCACCTAAGACAAATTCCTTGTGTATCCAATCACACTTGCCCAATAAAGAATTATATATATCTAATAATTCAGGAAAAAAGGTAAGTGGGTTTAGATAGGGCTCTTAGAGGCGGGCAGGGCGATTGGTGAGCCAGCCAATCAGTGAGCGGCGGGCGGGACAAGCGTGGTGCAGACGGGCGGGGGAGGGAGCTGGAACCGGTTCTAAACGGCATGATAGATTTGTGGAGGCTCTTCTATAGAACCGGTTAGAACCGGCAGGAACCCACCCCTGTTCCTAATAAACATACTGTACATATGATTGAACTGCTAAAAATATTTAAGCTGCTAATGACTCCCCTATGACTGCATTACGAGTACAGGAAATTTCACCACAGTTCTGATCCAAATCACAGTGTTTTAAAAAACAGAAATGTTATTGATGACAGCGAAAGCAGGAAGTGGATGCTTGGTTAGGAAAACATCTTAAGTAGTTTAATAGCCAGTGGAATTTAAAGAAAAAAAAGAAAGGAGGTTTGGAAACTAGGCATGAGGCTGGGTTCAATAGACATCTTTGCAAAAACTAATGTTAACAGTTAACAAGAACATTTCATCAAGCGAAGCTGAACATTTCAAAGGTGATCCTAATAACTTTATACATATTTTTCTTAATGAATATTTATGGTGTATTTTAAGAGGCTATATCCAAATAAAAAAGTAGATACCTCAAGAGAACAATAGAATGCCTTCATAATGGCAAATTATGTCAAGAAAGGCCATTTCTAGTTCTATTCAATTATTGGACATATTTTAAGAGACCAAGACTGAATCAAGCCATCAACCATGTTCTAAAATAAATAACTTCTCTTTCCATTCCAGAAGTCCCAACCCCTTTCTAACTTCCAGACATATCAGCCCTACTGCTAATGGTAGAAGGATCACTGGAAGTCATTGCTCATTTCAAAAATTCTCCATTACTGTTTCTCCGTTGTTAGCAGCAGATGCCAGAAATCTGGAACAGGCTTACTGGGAATGAGAAATGATAAAAGCTCTACTGTATGTGTGCAGATACGTAGAGCCCTAGGCCAGATTGCATGTATGGTCTGCAGTCTAAACTATTTATCCAGAAGAAAATGATTTTTGTAATTTGTCTGATGTGATTTCTGATATTAGTCATTTTTAAGTGTAATGTTCGTTGAGTTGCCATAACTGTTTTTTTTACCAACCACCAGAGACATTCCCAAAATAGATTCCAAAAAAGAGTAGAAGAGAGAGATACTAGTACAGAAAGTCCTCTAGATTTCATTTAGCAATTTGTCAAAGTGACAACACTAGAAAAAGTGATTTATGACCGTTTTTCAACTGTTCAATTCACTTCACAACCATGTTACTAACTTAACAACTATAGTGATTCACTAAACAACTGCGGCAAGAAAATTAATCACATGGGGCAAATTCATTTGACAACCATCTCATTTAGCAACCAAAATTTGAGGCTCAACTGTGATCTTAAGTCAAGGCTATCTCAATAGCAGCCCAGCCACAGCTACCTAAAATGTCAGATTTACCAACCTGGTAACAGGTTTCCAAGTAGGCTGACATTAAGGTTGTAGTCTAGTCCATAGATGTGATAAATACATTCTGTGTTTGCTTATTTTAAAATGCAAGTCACCTGAGAAGAGCATTAATGGGGGGGGGGGGACGACGAATTAAGGCAATAGGACGTATGAGCTACCCCAATTCTTACCCCTGAAATTCTTACAATCACTACTGAAAATGGTCCTGATGAAAGAAATGTCCTTCTGGGTTCGGCTCCAAGTGGGGAAAAAGACACTGGAGACATGGAAGCTGCTTGGAAAGATGGTTTTAATGGTGGACAGGACCACATGGCTTGTGTCCTGAACTGAAAAGGTGATCACATGCTTCAATGTTGGTGGCGAAAAAGGGCCAGCTGAGATGCTGAGTCCCTGGTTTTATGCCCTCTCTGGCCTTTGATCTTGAACTTGTATACTGATTGGTTGTCAGACTCCCATCGGCCCATGCAGGGGCAACTCTCTAGGCTGCGTTTTGAATCCAGGTTTGGTTGAGTTCTCAGATGCCATGTGGCGAGTTGGGTAAAGGGCCAATATTATCATGCCTTAATCCCATCTCCCTGGAGCTGAAGGGGAGAACTCTTTATTATGTAAAGCGGACTAGCTCAGGCTTTAATGGCTCATTGACAAAGGGGGATGGGCAGGAAGCTGCAGGCAGCTATTCTGTCTTTTAAAACATGTTTCTTTTTTTTTCTCATCCAGAAAGATATTCTGCCTTTTCAATATTTCCTAGGATATTTCATTTTTCTGGGAGAGGGCTGGGTGATAACTTCCTACAGTGCACTGAGGGAGCTCAATCAATCTCAATGGACGTATGTTGTTCACTGACAAATAATTATTAAACCAAGCCCCGCCCCCAGTAAGCCAACGCACGTGGCCCGTCTTTTATAACTGCCCCGCCCCTTTCCTCCGGTCGTGCCCCCTCCCCTTTCTTCCCTCGCCAGCCAATCGAAAGCAAGTCTGCGTAGAAAGTCACAGGGCGCGCGCCGTTTTTGTTTTTTTTTAAACGCGGGGGTTTGTCTCGCGCGCTTGCCTTAGGAGAAGGCGGGGCGGGAGGAGGCGTACTCCATTACGCGGAGAGCAGAGAGACGGCGGCTTCCTTTAAGGAAAAAAAAAGGGAGGGGGTAGGAGAAAAGAGGAAGGGGCGGGGAAAGAGAAGGAACGAGGGCGCGCGCGCGCGCGCCTGCCTAACGGCTAATAAACGAACGCACGCGCAAGGCTGCCGGAAGCTGAAGCGCGCGCGCCGAAAAAAAGAGAGAGACACGCCCCCAGCTCGACGGCCGCCCCATTGCCGGCCGGAGAGCTCGGCGAGCGGCGGCTGCTGTGGGACCCTTTTGTACTTCCTTCCCCTCAGAGCCGCTCTCCCCCGTCTTCTTCCCGGCGGAGGAAACCCAGGAGGGAAGCCATGGCGTCCTCGCCGGTGGCGGCGAGCCCCGGGACGGCTCTCGACCCGGCTGGCGGCGCGCGGGAGCGGCTGCCGCGGCTCTGGGAAATCCCGTCGGAGCTCTTCCGTTGCTGGGGTTGTTTCAGCTTCTTGGGCGAGCCGGTGACGGCGCCGTGCGGGCACACCTACTGCCGCCGCTGCCTCCGGGAGAAACTTCACGCCCGCTGCCGTCACTGCGGGGACCCGCTGGCCGGCACCACGGTCGCCGTGGTCTTAGCTCACTTGGCGGAGAAGTGGTTCCCGGCGGAGTGCGCCAGGGCTCGGACGTGGCGCCGGCTGGCCGAATTGCTCCGGCAGGGGCGGCCCCGCGAGGCTCGGGAAGCCGCCGACCAGGCGCTCCGAAAGGGTAAGGGCACCGGAGAGAGGCCCGCCGTCAACTTCCTTCCCACAACTCCCCCCTCCCCCCCAATTGCGAGTCAGACGATCGTGTGAACGCGAAGGGGTCTCCGGTCCCGGGTTAGTAGGCCGTGAAAAGAGCCCGAGGAGGAGGGTTACGTGGCGTGCAAAATGATCCGGGATCCGGGGCGGATTAGAGCTTTGCAAAAGCCTCGGATGCTTTGTGCCTGCGGTGACCCCGGGAAGTTGCAGATCCCCGGCTTGTCGGGGCTTCTCGAAGTTCAAAGATGGGCTCAACGGATTATGTTGTGTAATAATGAAATACGCCGCCTTTGCTTCTTTTTTTGCACTGGAAAGTCCAAGCTAGTTTTTCAGTGAAAGTCATCTACAAGTCAATCCAATTTCAATCCCTCGCGCAAGTAGTCCTCGACTTACAACAGGTCATTTGAGTGACCGCTCAAAGTTACAACGGCCCTGAAAGAAGTGTCTTATAACCATTTTTCGCACAAGACTGTTAATAGACTCTCCACAGGTGTGTGATTTATATTCAGATATGCCTGAGGACCGCTTCATATTTATGACGGTTGCAGTGTCCCCCCTTGTTGTGTGATCTTGACCTTTTGACAGATTCACTTAACAACCGGGTTACTAATTTAACAACTGCAGGGATTCACTTTAACAAACGTGGCAAGGGAAGTCGTAAAAAAACGAGGCAAAACTCATTCAACAAATTTCTCACTTAGCCACATAAAACCTGGGCCAATTGTGTAGGTTGAGGACTACCTGTATTTTTGCTGGCTGCTGTAAGAAATAGAGATTTTAGACAGATACACTGGTATTTTTTTCTTAATGTATATTTAAAGATAAAAAGGCTAATCATAAAGAAATTTACGGGGAGATGTGAAAGGGTAGTTATCCTAAAACAGTTTGCAAATATCACACCAAAGCTATTTGTTTTATACTTGGCTGTATACAATTCTGCAGAAGATGCAGAAGTTGGCATGATATTTCCTTAGACCAGTGTTTTTCAACCACTGTGCCGCGGCACACTAGTGTGCCGTGACATAATGTAAGGTGTGCCGTGGGAGAATTACTTTATATATAGTCAATATAGGCACAGAGTTAATTTTTTTTAACATTTTCTAATGGTGGTGTGCCTCGTGATTTTTTTCATGAAAAAAGTGTACCTTTGCACAAAAAAGGTTGAAAAACACTGGTTTACAGAATCAATATATTGCCCTGAACAATTTAGGTCCTCCTTTTACCCAACTCAGAAGGATGGAAGACTGAGTCAACCTTGAGCTGGTGAGAATTGAATTGCTGGCAGAATTCGATTCTAACCACTGAGCCATTACGGCTCTTAATATATTGTTACTAGTAATAATATGACATTGAATACAAATTGG